AGACATCACGATGCGTTGATGCGTGTAACAAAAAAGAAGAAGAAACAAATCAGGAAATGTGATCTTTTTTCCATGAAGATCAACTTCATATATTGAATAGGCGTTAAATATGCTGTCATTTTGCAACTTTTGCGGAACTTATGCCGTGTTCAACTAATTTTTTTTCGATTCAGTTTTTTTTTCTGGAGTTTGTTTTGCGTTGCTTTTATCGATATTTTTCAACCACGTACAACAACATTTTTTATTTCATCATCGATAGCAATTTTATTTAATGCATTTTTCATTTCACATCATGGATGTGGATCATGGAAAATACTCGGGTGCGCGCACGCACTATCGATATCTATGAAAAAACAGCGTTGAAATTGTTTGGTATAGATTGGGAACGTGTTGTTTGAGTGTCTGAACCTTTATTCGTCTTAGTTCTTATAACGTTTAGTGGATGCTGATTGAAAAATATCATTAAAATGATAAAGCTGCTTCAAGCGAAAGAGAATACAAAAAATTAAATCATTGCGAGTCGTTCTCGTTTTTACTTTATAAAATTATCGCAAAGAACTATCAAGTGTTGATATTTTCACGGAATGGTCGTTAAATCTAATGCGTTCACCACGATATTTGTCGTGTGTTGTTTTTTTTTGTTTTGTTATTTTCTGCGCATGAGATTTTTTAAACAATTCAAAAATGTAAATTCGCAAATTCTCTTCCGACTTACGTATTGAATATATGAATATTTGATAGCAATCGACAATTTGGCTGCTGATACATCGATTTGCATACAATTGGCTACAATTTAAATAATTACTCACCTAATAAATATCATGTGTAATTTAAATGCGATGCAATTGCTATTTTAATATTCAAACAGTATTCAAAGTCGACGCACTTTCGTTTCAAACGAAAACGCACTCGCATGAATGAATGTTAAGAACATGATGTGTATTGCTTTTTTTCAATTCAATTTCGTGTTTAAAATGCGTGTTTAACGCTCACACATCGATACAAAATTCACAGCCGTTTATTGATCAAACGCGTCGACGCCAAAGCGCCTATTTGCAAATTCACCATACCAAATATGCATCTGATGAACTTGATCGTGAAATATATATGGATTTTTTTATACCGTGAACGAGCTAAAAAAAATACTCGCACATTTTTTTGCGCGAATATGTTGAAATGGTTAAAACACACATTTCACGAAATTATCAGATGAATAAACAAGTTTGAAGATATCATTCTGAGATGATAAAATTTATGAACTCCATTTATTGATTTTATTTAAGTCATAAATTAACGTGTAATTTAAAAACGAAAAATCACCACGAAATAAATGATGATAAATTAACACTTGGAAAAATGTCTTCGAAAAAGAAAATATTTGAGAAAAATCTATTTTCTCAGTAAAACATAATGTTTTGAACATTTAAGAAATTCTTTTGGCAAAAAATGTTTGGGCTGGCCACAGGCCATTAAAATATATTCAGGAAAAAAAAGGTCGAAACACTTTTCGATGTTTTATGATTGATGGTTTAAATAAAGTACGTTACGTCTTTGATGAAGATGGATAGATTTCTATCATTTGACTTCAGGTTGGTCTTTTAGTATCATATACTGCATATTATCACAACAGAGTTGATTCTTTGCCTGTATTTGCATAGAAGATTGACATTTCAAATATAAGTTTTGAATTTTTCGACAACTGTATCACAATATGTACTGTTTGTACTGAAAACGAATTCTGTGAAAGATATTAATTAGAAGACGCAACAGCATCAGCATTTTGACGTCTCAGAAAATTTAAGTAGTTTACGTTTACGGTTAGATTGCGGTAGACTTGTTATGCCGAATCTAATTTGTCAGTGAAGAATTAAATACCCGAAATTCACAGCCATAAATAACCAAAAGAACGGCTCAAAGAAAAATGTTTTATTTGTGCAAGAAAAAGAGAAAAACATTTGATTGGAGATTTGTCCGTGGTAATTTTTCAAAATTTCAACATGCCCAACATACTAAATCTTGTAACTGAAATGCAATGTGTACCGTTGGTTCCATTCTGACAGATCTGAAAATTCTTTCCAATATACTTCACAATCTCGATTCGATATTAAAATGCTTATTTCGGATTGCAGTATAACCTGTATCGGCTTCATTTTCAATCTACGCACCGAAAAAAAAGTGTCTGCTAATTGATCTATCTTAACAAAGATCTTCATGAAGAGCATTGATTTGAAATGAATTGGCCGGTTGTTCATCTGTCGGTTGCACATTTCTCATCGGTCCGAATCAGTTTGTATACTGAAAACATTGTGATAGCGATCTTGATGCCACTGAATACAGACACAAACATCATTTATCAATAGTTGGGCATTTTGCATTTCCCTTAACATTAAAAGAACATAAAACAAGAGTTAAAACTAGATATTCGCTTAACTTGTAAAGAAAAGGTGAGAAGAATTGCTGTAATTTAAAAATAAATAACTTGTTTTGGGGCAATTTTTTTCACATTTTTTGTTGTTGCCGGTTGATCGTTCATCTTGATGAATATTTTCGGTACTGGGGCATATTTCGATTTGTCGGCTGCATCGTTCGAGATCGAAAAGAGCATTTCAAATGAAGAGTGAAATAAAATGGATTCATTAATTACATCGCCATTTATGCATATGACTGATTCGTCTTTAATGAAAACCGGCCTTCCCATCGCAATCTCGAATTTGATATATTTCAATATGTTAGCTGTTGCTGTGCTCTGTTTATGTTTTCGTTCTTTCAATTTATTCTAAATATTTGTGTGTAGGACTTAATAAATAATTGTTGATCTCTTACAATTGTTGATCACTGCTAAAAATACGCAAAATGAAATGATTTAGCCGAAATCATGTCATACTAATAATTATAAACGATGACGACAAACATCAAAACGATCAATCCCAGTTCTGACTAATCAACGCTAAGCAAAACTTCTTTGTAAAATTCAATCGGTTGATTTTCAAGCACTGAAATTCATTCACGGAATATTTGTTCAAATACAAGAAATACGTAACGCAAAGAAAAATAAAATATGCGAATGGCAAAAGCATTGTTTGTGAGATAAATTTGAATTTCAAAAAAAAAAAAAAAAAAACGTCCAGTGAGAAACGAAAAAAAAATGTTCATGCGTTAAAAGAGTATTATTGTGTGTGTGTGTGTTACAAATGTGCGCCTCCGCACAACCTCATCGAGGACATTCGATCTCACCACATTCAATCATATGTAAAGCGCCGCTTCGCACAAATGATGGCCGAACTAAATTCCAGTATCGTGTGTCCGCACATTTAAATCGAACATATTTTTTCTACCTCTCTGTCTTTGCCTACTCTTCTATCTCACTCTATCTTGCATTTTCTCAAACCGATGTAATCACATAATTTCGAGAATTTTTTTTTAAGTGCAATAATCTTGTTTTCAATCAATTTTTATTAGCGATTACGTACATGTACACGATTGAAAAACCATTCAGAATATATAGATGTGTGTGTATGACTGTATGTTGCTGTTTGATTCTTTAAATTATTAAAATATGAATTTGTTGCTCTCCATAAAAAATAAAAAGCTGTCAACCGCAATTACATTTGCATGCTATGAAACACATCGTTGCCGCCACCGCCCGAATCAATTTCGGAAACATATTCATTAAACAATTAAAATAAAAATTCATTTAAAAATCATAAGACACGATGAGATCATTTTTCTCATATTATTATTATTGATGTGCACAATATGCGAACAGATGCTTTAAAATTCATTGTAATTTGCTCCCGTTTCGTTGTTTTTTTTTTCTTTTTCTAGAATTATTACATAATTGCAAAGAAGCACAATTGAATAGCGAAAACAGAGAGGAAAAAGGCAAAGTCAAAAGAAACACAAAAAAAGAATACAAAACACAGAGGTTGAAATACAAAATGTGGTGCAGTGCAATCAATAGCAAGGTAATCTTCAGTTGCATTTATTTCCATATTTGGATCGAGTTGGAAATTATGACATCGGATCTGATGGGCACGACATCATTTACAAATGCTTACTGTTGTTCGCTTACAATGCATTACAGTATGTGTAAAAATGAAATCCATTGTGGTTCCTCCTTTCATTGTAAATTCTCGCGCCCGCAAGAAACACAATACAATTGTTATACATCCAAAACAGATGGTTTCACATTTTCAATTTTGTCGAATGATGATGGAGAAATTGAAAAAGAAAAATCACATTTCGACCATAAGTCGTTCAGTTTTGACCGCACATGCTTGACCATATAAAAAAAATAATACTTGAACTGATGACACAATTAAAAATGTGTTACACACCAAATAACTCTCAAAGGAGCTGATTATTATATTCCGATGTGTGGACAACGGTTTGAGTGCGCTACCGCAACAATGCACAATCATCATCATTGTTTAGTGGATTTCGTGCTCACGAAGGTTAATACATTGTGACAATATTCGTATTCTACCTCACTTCATTCATAAATAAATGGAAATCGTGTTGTGTATACTACTTGAAATCGCTACTGTTCGACATCGTTCATCGACAACCAAAGAAAAAAAAGCAAAAAAAAAATACAGAACAAGATTCTTTTGTTATGTTTGTTTATTTATAACGATATAATTAGAACAAATTTTGTGTTTTATTTCAATTTGCAGATTTGTTATTTGTTTTCTGCGAATATTCAAGGTTCATGACTTCATATTTCGAGCATTTTAAGAAATTTATTACGATAACGTGCTATCCACACTGAAGGCTGTTCTCATGACTTCAACCTTTGAATTGTGCATTTGGTTACGAAACATTACATTTGTCCTCAGGGCTATTATGTCGCAATTTTGATCTTCGACACATTCATTATCATTTCGTTGAAATTATTCTAACGATAAAAATGCTCGCATATCCTTTGTTTTTCAGATACCGGGTATAATACATTAAAATATAGTCGTAATTATTACACGGATCTCTGAACAAATGGGCGTTTCACTTGAAAAAACACGAATAAAACAATACGTTACTTGCATTGATTTCGGACTTTGATTTTATTACAGAGAAGAAAAAATATATACTCATTCATTATTATAGCATTTGATTTATCCAATGAATTATGGTCGCGTTTGTTTTTTTTTTTTGTGCTTGCATTTTCTGTTCTTTTGTACGCTTAAAAGATTAAGTCAAAGTGATTAAATGTGTTCGGCTTTATTTGCTAATTGTTTTCATATGAATTTAAAATGAATTTTGTGAAATCTGCATATAAAACGATAGTAAATGATTTGTTTCAAAATGCCGTTTCATTATGGTTTTGAGTGTAGATTTGTTTATATTTCAACCGTTAAATTTAAATTAAACAATTTTGCCAAATCAGCACATGACCATAATGCGTTTTGAAAATCGAACCGTTTCAAAATGTTTTTTTTTTATTTTTTTCAACCATAATTCTACCATCAGGATCTTACAACAATGACATTTTTTTTAAATATTAATTTCAATGAAGGATGATTAAACGGTGTCAAATGCATATTTACAAAAAAAATTCAGTGAAATGAATAATGTTATTGTTTTGAATAGAATCAATTTGTCACGTGTCATAATCGGAGAAGTGTCTTGACATTTGTCGTCATACACTTTCGAAATCAATGAGTGTTCACAATTCCAATTCATCGTCGTATGAGTCGTATTCAATGTCATCAATCTCATTGTCGAGCTCTTTTATCAGAGCATCGACTGTTTCGTGCAATTCTTCAGCGGCTTTGTCAACATCATAAGCGAAAAGTGTTGCAGTAGAAATCGATTGCTTCTCTATTTTCTCTGCCGCATCTGAAATATGATATTGAGTTTCACTTTGTGATTTCAACCGAAATAAGAGAAACAAATCATACCTTCTGTAGTTGATTCATTTGAAATCGTTGATTTCACTTGGACATTTTCGGTTTGTGGCGATGTATCAACACTTTTTATAGCCTGTTCATCATTTTGCTGAATCGGTGGTGTATTCTTCTCTGCGGTGGCTTCTAGTTAAATAACACATCATTTGCTTTTAAATCTAAACTGAATGTTTTCAAATATACAAATATATTCTCACCAACAATCGGCACCGACAATTTGGTCGATGGTACATTCTCATTTGAAACGATTGAATTTTCCACTGTGGTGCTGACGACAGTAGGTTTCACCAGGCTGAAATGGATACTTTATCAATAAACATAAATTTTCAAGGAAATATAAATTTTGAATTACGTTGGGGCAGCACATTGGTCAGTTGGATCGATTTTTTGCTTTATCAAGTCATTTTGCTTGAGTGGCTGTTGTTGTTCTGCGCCAGATTTGTTTTGAATTTGTGGTGACACTGTAATCGGATCTTTTGCATTGGAATATAAACACAAAATTTATTAGATTGATAGAACAATAAAGACGATTGTAAAATTCTTACCAATCGTTTGAGGAGAATTTGTCTTTGCTGTGTCCGATGGCTGTTCAATTGGAAATGGTCTCTTCATAGCAGCTTGTTTCTTGCCCGGTTGTTCATATTGCACTTCCAAAAATTCCAATGCTTTCAGTACTTGTCCCTTAATTGAGCCCAGCACTTGAACCTCACCATAGTAGAAAAAATGAACCACCGTTTGCATAACAATCGACGTAAATGATGTCATTGGAACTATCCATAGAAAATAAAATATTCATGAAATGTTCATTTGTTTTCTTATTTTCAAACGAGTGTTCCTGGCAATTGCAATCGCACTCATAACGATACACATTTAAATCAATCGTTAATTACCAATGAATTTGCGTTCAGGCCCAGAATGGGCGAGAAGACGTCGAAAGTAGTTCGAATACATTGTGAGTATAACGCGATGTGCAGACACGACCTTTTTGTTTGCCACAATTAAATCAACGTCGGGTCCTTCACATTGCCGGAATACTTCGATGATTTTTCTATTTATGTAATCCGTTCGTGAACGGTCTTTAAACTTGAGCAAAGTACTCATTTCAACCGGTTGATCGACCAAATGCACTCAAATTATCTTATTATTTGGCGAAAAAAAAACACTTTTGCTTTCAGATAACATTTAACCACTGAAGCTGTCTCTTCTACTGACAACCTGACACAAAATCACATAGATCTAAAGCCGACAAATATTGAGTTTTGCATCATTTTGTTTACAAAATCGAGTTTAATGAATATATTATATTGTTTTTGGGCGTTGAAACGAATCGATTCAATATACAATTTCAACAAAAGATGTCACCACCATTGAATCAAACCATTGCATAGAAAATATAGATTTGAAAAAATGCTAATTTGAGTGAAATACCATTTGGTAAATATGCAGACCTATACGATGAAATGTTATTTTAGTCACATTCTTATTGATTCAGACCTGAGTTCATTTGAAAAAAAAAAAAACATTGACATTTTTACCAATTCATTGACAAACTTGAATATTCACATGAAGTTTGCTTTTTTAAAAGTTTTTTTTTTCTTCGTCGATTTCATTTGAGTTGCCTAACTACCGGCTTATATTTGAGGTTTTCTTGCTTTTAAATTTGAGATTCTTTTTACGGCTTGAAAGTCTTCGCAATTTCAGATGGAGCGAAGTTTTACCGATTTTCATTGAATTATAATTTTACATCAGTCGAAAAGCACAAGTGCCGCAAAATAAAGCAAATAATCCCAACTGGCGCATAATTTGAAAGGTTTTGTTCCGTTGCTAGGTGCCGTACATTTAAATGAAATGGAAGAACCAAAGCTGGAAATTCATTTAATAGGTTTTATTTAGTTGCCAATGTGCACAGTTTGATCGATATTTCAATTTCATTGAATGCCAGAATAATTTCAACTGCGACAAAACATGTCCAAACACTTTTGAAAAATCATTAATCTTCATTCAAAATTTATCTCTAAAAGAAAAAAATGTTTTGGGGTTTTAGTGAATCACTTGATTTGTACGAAGAGTACCAAAAAAATGTGAAAACTAGTGAGAAACAATCCGAAGTGAAAATTTTATTGTTTGGTAGTTCGGATCCGCGACATATTCTCAAAACGGTAGCCAAACGTTATCAACATTGTGCAAAAGTGCATTTCTATATTATCGAAGCATGTCCAGCTTTAATTGCGCGCCAAATAATTTTGCTGTCAATTGCATTAGAACCTGCACATTTGTTAACCTTATCAGCTCGGACGCATTTATTCATGGATATATACGGGAACGCCTTGATTCGATCAACGTCAATGGGTTACATCGATAGCAAAGCAAAACATTTGATAAAATGTGTCACCGATTTAGAGTTTAATGAAAAAATGCAACCGATTTTCGATTTTAATCATTTAAAATTCATTGAACGCGATACGATGGAAAATGTGTTTAGTTTTTGGCGTGAAAATGAACGAAATAAATTTGACATGAATGCGACATGGATGCAACGACTTCGGCAACATTTACGCGAACGTTTCGATTGCCGGCAAGGTGCTTATGATTGGGATCTTCAAATGCGGTTAAAAGATAATGGTGCTCAACAAATCTGTTCACAAGAGTACAAACATTGGCGTGAAACCGGAATTGCTTTCACATTTCCGGAATATAGTCAATCTCATGCGAACAAAACATTTGCATTGCAACCGTCCAAATTGAATGCAGGTGGTTATATGGGCGAAATAACAATCGGGCCATTTTGTGCATACGGATTGTCGTGCCAAGATCAAAAATTACTTAAATCCAACTACGGACAAAATGAATACCGTGCAACCGATATAACCGAACGCAATTTATTGGAACTATTTTATGAAATTCATGAACAACAACCAGCCACTCCGGATGTATTGGTTACTCATAAACTTGGAATGGCCAAAATTAATACGGGCAAAATATTCGAAGCAAAAACTCATGAAATTGATTACAATGATCTCAAAAAATTCAATGAGCCACTCATTTTAACGGATCAAATTAAAATTTCATTCTTATCGATGGCCGACGCCCAAACTCTTGTCGATGGCAATAAGTTTCATCAAAATTTTGACGTTGTTTTTATCGGTCGAAATTATTTTCCAATTGTTAAAAAGGAATTGGCAAAAGTGTTAGCGTCAAATGCGTTAATTTTATTCGAAACAGCACAATTTTCGATTCAAAGAAAACCCGAAATTAATACATTTCTGATGAAAATTAGAGACATGGCCAAAGAAATGAATTTAAAAGCAATAAGTAACTTTAACATCAATTTGCCATTGTCGGTGGCCAAATTTGTAAAGATTGATTTAGATCAGGAACATAATATCGACATTTAAATCGATGTGAAATCCTCCGAAAACATGGTAGAATTGGTAATATTACGACAAAAAAAAGTAAAAATCCATCATATAAATGTAACACAATCAATAAAAATAAAAAGCAAGAATAAAACTTTAAATAAATTTATTAACAACATTTTTTTCTGTTTTTTTTTTTTTTTTTTTTTTTTGAAAAAGACAAAAAATATGTTCGTCCTACTTAAAATCTAAACAGCTGGTGCGACTGGTAAATGCTCACCTTTGGGTTGAAAGCCATTTTTATCCGCGATCTGAAAATGAATTAAATTCAATAACAAATATTACTCTTTATCAATTATTGAACTATTTTAATTTAAAAAAAAAGGAAAGGAAGAAAGAATGTCTTACGTATGTGACAGTGTATTGTTGTTTGGTGTTTGGATCAACGTAAGTAAAACTACCACGAACTGAAATGCCTTCTTGCGCTGATCCAATATTACCACTCTCTTGTTGGGTGATTCCATTTGACGTTTCCGAACTATTTAAAAAAAGAAGGCAGAAAAAGACGCACACACGCAAAACCAATTTAAAAAAAAAACATTCAAAACATTCAAAGTATATAAAAAACTAAAAATTCCGTAACACATGTTGAAGAAGAGATAACCTTGAATGCATTTAAGACTTACAGCCATTTCCAGTTATCAACACCGATATTGGTATTTTGTGACTTCACGATAACGGCAGCATGGTCTTCTTCCACGGGCACCGCAACGGCAACAGCAATAAGAACAGTGAAAACAATGATCGATTTCATCTCTTTTTTTTTTAAATGTGTTTAAAATAAAAACGAGTTTGTTTTTTCTTCTTCTACTTCTTTCGCCGCTATTCGGTCACACTTTGAAGTGATAAGGCAAATTGATTAGAATGCACTGTGCCGATCAATAGAATTGCACGTTAATTTATAGTGACACAATGCAAACACACATACAAAATAAGCATAATTAATCAGCAATGTGCCACGCTCTGTCGATAAACACTGGCCTTTTTCGTTGCGAGCGCGCTATTGATGATTGTTGCCATTTCGATGTTATGTTGTCAATGAGAGACTTTTTTATTTTAACATTTGTGTATGTCTTCTTTTTCGGTTTCATCGTCATCGTTTTCATTATGGAGAGGAGTTAATAGATTCAAAAAAATATATATATTCCGATAATAACGTACGCAGTGTTTGTGTGTGTGTGTGTTTGTTGCTAATTTCAGCCGCTACCAAATAGCTAAATGGTTTGATTTTAATCACTTTAGAAGGTTACATGGATCTTCAGTTTATGACATTTCTCTTCCACGAATTATCGGCTTCTTCGCAATTTTGCTTCTTCTGTCATTTTCTGGACCATAAACTACTAGATTTTAGCATTTGTTTTTTCGCACATCAAACAAAAGTGAGAAGAAGATGATGTAAAGAGTTTCTATTTCTTTCTCTTAATTTGACGCACACATAGAATCATTTTGTCACATGACGCACGCACAATATACCTATTTCTCAGAAGAATAATCAATAATTCAGCATTTAAGCGAGAAATATCATCAATAATATGATGAAGATTAGCATATTCATAGTTTTCTTCATTGGCATTGTTAACATTTTCATTCACACAATATCAGAGAATCAATAAAAAAAATCACTTCGTGGAACTTCACGCAATGATAGAGATAAAGAATAAAAATATCCACTAAATTTGATGTTTCGCCAAATGTTGTATGTTTTTTTTTTAAATTTAGTTTGTCGGATCTAAATGCCAATGAGCATTCAAATGTATTGTGTGTGGAGGGGTCTCTTAAGATTAACAAATTTGATATTATATTTGGAAAAATCAACTGTTTTTATCAGTAGAAATGTGAGGGTTTTTTCAGCCATTGAATTGTTCGAACTTAAATTGAGTTTATCTCATCAATATGCCGCCATATTGTTACCGATCTGATGTCATAATGTTAATGTTTAATGAAAATCCGAGACAAAATATCATTCGTCAAATGCACCGAACCGAAAACACTTTTGAATATAATCAAAACAAAATCTCAATCAATTTAGAATGAAATGGCACATAAAACACCTAAAATATGCGAACACCATATATTGTGTGATGTCGTCGCACCGTCGATACGATAATAACAGTCACATCACATTTCGACTTAGAAACATAATTGTTCTTTTGTCTGATGGAAATATTTTCGAAACGAGATTGAGAGAGTGTATAAAATCACTTTTTAACCTTGGACGGTCAAGTTATATGTAAAACAATTCGGTATTCAATGTGTATAGCTACATCGTTGCCCATTATATATTTTAACAACTGATTTCTGACTTAATTGGTCACATAAATGACGGTGTGCTCGCTCTCATCAGCTGATTTCGGTGTTTCGGCCATTTATAGTATTATGCTTTTGTTTGTGCGCAATCGAAGCAGCGATTTATTTGTTGTCTCTTCTCGTCTTCACATCTTTTATCGATCGCTAAATCGATTTTATCTCATTTTTGTGTGCACCAACCATAAAAACTCAAAATGACACACATTTGCGTATGATTTTGTTTTCGCTTTCATCGGCATCGAAAAATTACTGATGCTACTCGTATGCAAAATTGTTTGCATAGTGGTATGCTTTTTTATGTGGTCAACAATGACGATCATCTTTCTCTTCTCGAAGGAATTGCGAATAAGAGAGATACAGAAGACAAAAAAAAACCACTGATATTTACCGACGGTTAAACAAGTTTCCAACGATACATATGGTGTAAATGTCATCCGATTAGCATAATTATTAAATGATGATTTCTGTCGTATGATTGTTTTTTTTCTGGTTCAAAAGGTACATAGTGATAATGTAATACAGAGACCCATAGATCATCTCAAATGGCCAACAAACGGTTTCAATGCTCTCTCTTATGTCATCACAGTGTACAAACACATATGCACTCCATTTTACACAACCATCATAAATGCGCCAATTAATATTCTGAACCATTTAAAAACGTAATCGATGGGATTCGGTTTTTTTCTTATCACCCAAAATGGCTTTTTTTTTATTGTCAAATTTATATTTATTTTTCAAATCGATTAAATCGATGCAAAATTTCTATTAAGCAGATAAAAAAAATATAATTTGCTTTCTGCTTTCGAAAATCAATATTAAATTGGAAAATTCCAATATTTCAACACATATTTTTTTTATTCGCTCGCATTCAATATTAATTATAGCAGGCTTTGCATTTCTAATATACCTAATTTATTTATACTCAATTTTATTTTCTTTCAATTCCATTAAGTGTTACATAAAAAAAAACGGAAGGAGATTTGATCAATTCAGCCAAACATATTACACTTTTTTCGGATGATTTTTTTTTAAGTTACGCATTGGTGGTTAAGTTATTTAATATTGGCTTTATATTTTCAACGAGCAAATTATATGATTTGGTATTTTATTTTTCAAGACATATTCAAACCAGCAAAATGAATGCATTTGGATGAAGCAACTATAACTGAATGTTGCACATTACAATTTACGCATATGCAATTCCAAAAAGTATCGAATATTACACATGATAATAAAAAAAAGCCATACCGTATGGTGTAAAGCATCAATAAAAGACATGTTTTTTTAAATCATAAAATTGAATTCATTAATAAAATTGCGAATAACGACAGTTTATTGGAGTATAATTTTCAACAGTTCGAATAACATAATATAAATAAAGTTTAAACTAAAGGTTTTGGCAAATGGGTACCCTCGGCTTTGAAGCCATTCTCATCTGCCGTCCATTGTACAGTGTATAAAATTCCATCTGGAGCTGTGTATGAGTATGAACCATGTTTGGCCAAGAAATAACCTTCTGGCCCTTGACGCAATTCACCACTTTCATCGGACTGGATATTGTTGCTTGTTTCATATCTGCAATTTGGGACAGAAAAGAATGATTTTTGGACAAAATATGCAAAAATATTGATTTTTAATTTAGTTAAATTATTTAAAACACTTTGACAAACTACACTCTTTGAAAAAAAAACACACACACTTTTTTCACACCAAAATATATTGAAGAATTTCTCAGGTGGAGATGTATATGATAATTGGGGTTCATTGACATTAGATTATGATTAAATTGGAAATTAAATTCTATTGGTATAAATCAAAAGTGCACACATACTGTGAATGGTAATCACCCACGCCAATGTTGCTGTTTTCGTTCTTCAAAACGGTTGCTGTTGAGTCTGGTGCTTGTGGAAATGCAATGGCGATGGCAACAATAGCTGCAAAAGCAATGATGACTTTCATGATGGATATTTGTGATTGCAACAGATGCTCGATTGAAAACAGCTGAATATAAACTAATATCGCTGCCATTCAATTCAGCCAATTTTATAGTGTACAATTCAAATGGTGCTCCTAACGGGACAGAAGAAATGGTGGCACGATTTTTTTTAGTTCGATTATGTGGTCAAAAACAAAGTGAAATCCCGTTATCAAATCTTTATTGTTTTTATGATAATTACTTCATAATTTTTTATTTACATCCATGCATTTTGTGATTTGATTGATTAGCTTTTAGGTTTGAATATTACATAAAACAAATCACTGTCAATATTTCTTCGGTTTTTTTTTATCTTTCGGTAAATATATGTATATATCACAATTTGAGTCTCCGTTAAGCAACTTAATGACATAATATTATCAACATCCACGAAGTGGGTGCCAAAAATATGACAACAAAAAATGAGTTCAACGATAAGTGTTAACATTTATTCTGTTTGCGATGAAATGTGCAAATTTTAAATGTTTATTTGCATCCAGATTGATGTTTAACATCACAAAAAATAAGTTTGTTTTATTCATGTAACATAACGGCTACCACCGTTATCACATTTTTAAAAAAATGTCATAAATTTTCCTTGAGAAAATCTAACACAAGAATATTGCATGAATTTGCAAAAATATTTAAAAATGCAACATACCAAAGACAAACAATTGGACAAAAACTGCTGGCCCTTTAACTCGTTCTCCGGTGATGTAATTTTTAGACGATTTTTTACCTTAAATTTAAGAGTTTATTCATCGGAAAGTGAAAAAATAGATTTCGAACAAAATTTCGACCAAATTCATTAAATCATTGAAAAAAATATATATATTAGTGAAAAATTCATGAACCAAAGATGGTGAACTGGTTTTATTTAAAAAAAAAAAAAGAAGAAGAGATAAACAACTGTGATCAAGACCAAATACGCCATGCATCTCAATCATTGGCGATACCGTGCACATATCACAGACAAAACGATTCCTCCATAACAAACCAAAGCGCATACAAAATGACCAATTTTAATGGTTTGAAACACGCTAATTTTTTGGCGAATAATCTGGCATCAAGTATATAATAATAATACCGTAACCTTTTAACAAAAATATATTAAAATAATTTATTTATATTTTATGCCATATTTGTGTTCCATTATAATCCATTTTTGGTGTGATGAGACGGTGTGTATCTGTCCATATTTCCTTCTCTTCAGCTTTTTCAATGGATTCACATCTAAGCCTCATCGCAGATGTTATTTCGGATGAAGGTTTGTTTCACGTTATCATCTTAACGTTTCATTAAAATATATTCATATTTATGATGTCAATGGAATTATGCTTTTTTTTGGGCGCCAATATACCCAAAAACGCATGCTAAAAACAATGGAAGAATTAGCGAGAAACCAAAATTAATTTATAAACTATTTATGAGGAGGAAAAAACAACAAAGTCTTGCCATTCATGATCTTAATACTCTGAGAAATGATGAAAATTGGTAAAATGATATTATTACTTCTTTTTTTTTTTAATCGAGTAAGAAACCAACTCAAGATTATCATGTATTTATCACCGTTATTGTTATTAATCTTTGCTTTTGGTTTCGTTTTCATTTTGCACATTTTGTTGAAAGTGAAACACATAACGCATGCCGGCCTTCACACATTTTATTCAATAGACAAGAAGTGAGCGAGAGAAACAGGCAAGAAGAAAATACCAAAAATAATCGAAACAACGTTCCACCGATGCGCGCACTGTGTGATGGACCAGTTCAAAAATATTAGTTTGAATTGATGTGAACGTACACACCAATATGCATACGTCCATTTAATCGCGTATTCGTCTAAATATCATCAGATGACAGACATGTGCATGATCACAATGAACTGTTGTCCAATTAATATTCATTCATTGATTTTTTTTTTGAATTCTCTATTTCTCGAGGCAAAATATTCCTTTGAAATGTTTCAAAATGTATGAGACTTATTTGATGAAACTTAGTGATAAGGAAGTAAGGTGCATATCTATTATTGAATGCTTGAGGCAGAAACAGACTAAGAAGAAGCTGCATTACATTGGAAACGTGTCAATATGAATGCTGACCCACCCAGCAGTTTGTTAGTTTTTTCTCGTATATAAAGCCGGTAGTTGTGTTGAATCAACATCACATATCAACTGGCTGTTCAGCAAGTAACAAGTGGAAAAAAACCCGAAAAAAAAAATCCAACATGAAATTCGTCATTGTTCTCGCTGCCCTTTTAGCTGTCGCTTTGGCCGCACCACCATCGAACCCAGAATCTCAAGCCACTATTATTACACAAAACGCTGATATTGATCCACAAGGAAACTACGGAAACGAGTAAGTGTTTATTTTTTATTTCTTCATCGATTATTGCGCATCGAAAATTGTTTTGCATATTCACTATTCTTGAAAGTACAAAGACCTATTTTCAATGCGAATATTTCGAGAAATGTGAACGAATTATGTACAACATTATGTAAATTTTTTGGTTTTTTTTTTTTTGGAAAATTGATATTTCAAATGATTTTTTATTCAATTTTTCTTCCTTGATTTTCGTGTGTAGAGTCGAAACCTCAAACGGCATTTCAGCCCAGGAACAAGGTCAATTGAAACCAAATCCATCACCAAAATCTGATGAACCAGCTGCTTTCATCGCTGTTCAAGGCCAATTCTCATACACTGCTCCAGACGGTCAATTATACACCGTTCGTTATGGTAACTATTATTTTGGATATTTTTTGAAAATTAACATTTAATCATTTGATATAACAATTTTTAATTTGAATATTAAATTTTCTTTTAAATTTAAATCAGTTGCTGATGAAAAAGGTTTCCAACCAGAAGCCGCCCATTTACCCGTTTCCCCAGTTGCTTAAATCACTTTGTATCATCGAAAAAATCTAAGTCATCTGTGATTTGATAGTTGAGACACAACACCATGTACTGACTGACTCGTTCACAAATTAGATAATAATAAAAAAATCTTGAAAAATTATAAAACATTCTTTTTTTATTTGCAATGGATTTTGTTTCTAATGAACGAACTACTAGACATATTGCTCTGAAATAAACTTAAATAAAAGATTTATGGAATGGCTATTGAAAAAAGGAAAATGGTAGAAAAACAATACATAATCAATTTCACACCATATACTATTACGCTAGCTATTACATGAAATCGTTCTATTATACACTTTGTCGGACATACTTTACAAATCTTTTACTCCATAAATGGATTTTTTTAATTGGGATCAAAATAGCAGATTTTAAAACCGACTTAACCCTCTAGTGCATAGCCCTGTCTTAGGCAGGGTGTATAAATTATTGTCTAAAATATATAATTAAAAACAAAAGATTCTATTTATGAATTAAAATATATTCGGCAGGGTTCAGGCTTTCATTTGCCGGTCATTTGACAAGTTTTGTTCTCCAATTTTGTCAATAGCATTTTTTGAGTAAACTATGCAATTTTTTGAATTTTGATTATTTATTTAAGGAATTTTAAACCAAAATAATCATAGAAAAATAGTTCCATGTCGAAAAAAAATTAATGCATTAGAGGGTTGAATCATTTTTGGTTAATTATCGCACCTCTTTTTGTTATTCTCTTTGGACGACAAGAATTTTGAAACGCAAAAAAGATTAGATATTTGAATATCGAGACGTTTTTATGTTCTTGAAGTTCTTGTGGTTGAGTTTATGTGAAATGTTGTTTGTTATTGTAATTTTGTGACATTTGCAGACATTGAATAAATTAAAGCAAAATGCTATGATAAAATGTACTATTATGCATGAAAATTTTTACTCGTTTGAATGAATGCTCGTAAAAACATACAAAATTTTCAATAATAAAGGCCATGATGATCATTACTATATCTTTTTTTTCGTGTTCTTTTACTTACTTTCACTTATTACCTACGTTTGTAATGGCGAGACTAAAAACAAAATCGTCAGACATAAGATATCCAATCCATATTCATAGTGTCGGAGTCCATATGCTGTGGTAAGATATGTCATACAAAAGATGATATCTATTTCAAATTGAGTGATTTACGAAGCAAAATTGATTTTTATCAATAACATTTCGTGATGTTTCGCATTGTATCACTTGAAAAATGGGTCTTATCATATTAGCATGCAAACATAAAATGCATGTTCGGTGATTTATTTTATATGCTATGGAAATTCGTTTGAAGTCATCCAATAACCTTTGGATATAGAGAGATATCAATCGTAAATGATTGCATAAATATCAAAATTAATTTTTTTTGGAGTTTGAGCGGCGATCCTTTTTCTATAATATTATAGTAAATTCGCTGAATTCCATTCACATTTAAATTCAAGAATTTTTTAATATGAAATATCACTCGTTTTTTTTGCTTCGAAAAAAAAATTCTGATGTAATTTCTTTTTCAAATTTTAAGTGTTCAATGTTAAAAAAAAAACTTTCCGTTATAGCAGAAAAGAAGATAGATCGGATAGCGTGGCATCTGAACATCTAATTTAATATATTCTGACCTTCACACATATATTTTTTCTTCATTGTCTACTTCGAGACAAAAAAAGGTTAAGTCAATGCTTCTTTGATAACAATTTAATACACCTCCAATGATCGAATGGACAGTCAGCATAGTAAATATGTCAACGAATTTTAAAACTTTATTTCTTCGACGCACAAATATTCAGGACAATTTTCTTTACACTGCATGCAAGTACACTCAATGTCGCAATGAATAAATATTAAAAGAAGAAAGTTTGCAAAAACGAAAGGACGCTCATTCGGTAAAAAAAATTATATATGTTGAATTGAAGATGACCGTCATGTTTTTAGGGGTCATATATCCGATGTGTTTCATGATAATCTGTTTTATGAAAAGATCTGTGAATTCGAAAACAGCCAAAAATATAAATGGATTAAGAATGAGACATAATTTGAAAATGTTTTTTTTTTTTTTTTTTTTGCCATATCGTGCCAAATGATCAGCGAAAATGTGTTGTAAACTCTTTAACACACACATTTACATATACATACGCATTCATATGGTGTTCGTTGTATCACTGTTAGATGCGGTTGATTCGCTAAATATTCATTGAATTGTTTTCTCTTTCATTTTACATTAAAATGTTATGATGTTGGATCCGAAGAGTGAGCGAGAGTATAATACAAACAGAGATCGATTCACACGCTAAGCCATATGTAAAATATTCATCTGCAAATCAGCTATTTTGATTAACATTCGTTCCGTTGCTAAATACTCAAAACCAAAAGAAGTAGAAGGCTAAATGTCCATTGTAATGATGCGATCATGTGTTGAAAATTTTGTATAAAAGACGATCGAAGATCAAGAGTTGGTATCACACATCAACTAGCTCTTCAGCAAGTAACAAGTGACAATTTAAAAAAATCAAAATGAAATTCGTCGTAGCTCTCGTTGCCCTCTTCGCCGTCGCTTTGGCCGCACCACAAAATCCAGATGCATCAGCAACAATTGTTCAACAAACTTCTGATATTGATCCACAAGGAAACTTCCAAAACTCGTAAGTTCGATTTTAGTCATTGTTTTGTAATTTCACCCATTTTTTCCGATATGGAACAAAATCGATGCGAATTTATCGAAAAAAGTGAATTACATTTGCACATTTCTTATTGTTTCGTTATTTTCATTTTGTATTTGACATATTCAACGAATAATTAATCATTTTTTCGTTTTTCTTCTAGAGTCCAAACCTCAAACGGAATTCAAGAGCAAGCACAAGGTAATTTGGTAGATAACCCAGCACGAGCATCGCCTGAAGATCCAACTGCTTACATCACACAACAAGGTTCATACTCATACACTGCCCCAGATGGTCAACAAATCACCGTTGACTGGACTGCCGATAAAGAAGGTTTCCATCCAAAAGTAAGTATATCGATCTCTTTAAATTTCTGTCTCTCTTCAATTTCAAGCGTTGTTAATTTATTTACTTTATTATTATTTCTTTGAACAGGGTGCACATTTGCCAGTTGCTCCAGTTGCTTAAGTCAATCAACCACGATGATTTCTCGATAGACATTATATACAAAATAACATCATGTATGGTATTATCGGAACATTAGTTAATAAATAAAAAAAAAGTCGCAAAAAAACCATGTATACAATCTTTTATTTGTCAACAGCTTTTTTTCTCACAGGAACCCATTTGGATTATTAGGTTATAAGTTTTTGTGAAAAAGATAGAAAGTGAACATACATAAAATAAAACATACAAGAAAATGTGCGACGAAAAAGTGAACAATTGGCTATCGATATGACTTTTACTACTCGAAAGATCAAACTTCGAAGTGATGAGAAACACATGATCATAATAGAATTTATAAGATTCTCTTTTGATCAATATTCCTTTTTTACTTTTGGTGAAGATTAATAAAATAAGATGAGACATCTATTCGTAATTGAGATCACATAGGATTGGATAAACGTAATATTTCACTTGAATAGTTAGTTTTGAATTGATGTGTATTTTTATGCTAAATTGGTCAATCTATTAAATTTTGCCTCTTTAGTTGCAATAATTACTATTACATTGATCGACATGCCCCAATAGGTTTAAACGGGAGGAAAATTGATGATTAGACTTTTGTTACTATAGAGAATCTATTTTCCAAAAATAATTATTTTTTGGGAGAGCATCTTTTCAATTTGTATTTCAGAGGAATTTCCATTCTGATAAAAGGTAACTGGCAAAACTCAAAATAATCCAACTTAAATGTCATTTTACCAATATTGTAACCGCGTTTTTTTTTTCAATCATGATTAAGCACAAAAATAAGCGTTAACATTTTCACTTTATGGTTTCGCTTCGGGATTTTTGTAAATTGTTTACTCAAATAACACAAAAAATTGCCTGTTTTTTATATCGATATTCGTCTACTATACTGTATTTTAAACAAATTTAGTTTCTTATAATACACTAAAACTTCTCAAAAACGGATCAAACTTCTTAATAATCATATCGAGGTTTATTTTTTTCAAAACAAGTATTTGAAAATCAAGTTGAATGAAAGTTGAAAATCATTGTCATTTGATATTTATTCACAAAAAATTATCGATATGTAATTAAAAAATATTAAGAATATTTGTGGAATGGACCAGAAAACTGACGAAATTGTTCTATAAGTGACTCGAGAGTTTATTTTCACGCATTTTCACGAATGAAAAAATGAGAGTTTTCAATAGATTTTCCACTATTTGGACGTACGACTTCCACTTTTGGCAGATGGTTTCATTAAGAAGATAAATTGGCTACATACTCAAAATTTCGTGTAATCATTTTTTCCAGGTGAAAGGTTTCACTGTACTAAAATCAATTGAAACTATTAAGTCGACCAATCTAAACCTATTTTATTTAAACCTTTCAATATATAAATTTATTCTGAAAGTATGAATCAATATGCTCACTGATTTATGATCACCGAGTTATCTGAATCAACTGATTAACAGAAACCAGAAAGATAAGAATTCTTATCTGAAGGTCCTATGCTCCACTAGGAGTTAAATGAAATATAAAAATGAATCATTGCGGCAACTCAACTGCAATAACCAATGAAATTCGATATAATTGCTTCGACGAATTCAAAAGAGGTTTTCAATATTGAGAAATGTAACTTTCATAATTTGCAATGAATATACGTAAATGTTGTGCGACAATTTACGTGATATTTTTTTTTTGGTAAAGAGGTAAAACACCTATTCCATGCGTGGATATTTTAGTGCCAATAAAATTGTCTCTCACAACGTCAGCAGCGAGATGAAAAGGTGTCATTCAATATCAATAATCAGACGCTCAATGTATATGCACAAATTTACGTTCCAGTTGCAAATGTTCATTACCATCTAAACACGGTTTGAATGCATAAATAAAATTTACAATTTAAATCACAATAAAATCGATACACCAAAGGAAGCAGCATATTGAGATGGGTATTTTGGATGATGCAGACCATCCAAGTGCACACCAAAAGAATAATGAGATGTTGATGTTGTCTTATTTGCCAATGAACTTTATAGAGTGCTAAATAGCTCGATTGAATGAAGCTACGAATGTTTTTGATTATAATATTTAATATTTTTCCGGTGTTAGGACTTTATTTCATAATTTGGTCAACTAGTTTTGGATTTGGATTAAGAACGTGCTATTCAACATGGAAACATTTCATTGTATATATTATATTCGCATCACGAACCATTCACAATTTACGTAAAATATTTGTATTTAAATAGATATAAAAATAAATTTTTGTATTAAAACATAGCAAAATCTAGTGGCGGATCCAATAAATATTCATCATATTTTTTATTGTTGCTAGATAGATATTCTTCAAATTGTCAACACACAGAGTGAGCGGGAGTAAAGCAAAATAAGAAAAGAGTCTTTCACACAGCAATCCATATAAGATTCAACTATAAACAAGCTTTTTTTTAATCAACGTATATACAAAACTGTTGCTTAAGACTCAACACTAAAAGAAATAGAAGGCTAAATGGCTAAATTGGGATGATGCGATTGTGTATTAATACACCGCTTGTTACACATTTGACACACACCGCTGGTTTTTGAGTATAAAAGGCGATCGAAGATCAAGAGCTGGTATCACACATCAACTAGCTCTTCAGCAAGTAACAAGTGAAAATTTAAAAAAAAATCAAAATGAAATTCGTCGTAGCTCTCGTTGCCCTCTTC